TCAGGCTTGCACAGTCAGCACTTTTGCCCACTGAATATTCTCTCTAACCCAATGAATCATTTTTGTATAGTTATCTTGAGACTGGAAATATAGTCAGTCATTCAACCAGACACACACCTGTCCACACATCCATGCATGTATGTGCCCATTCCTATATTTGTCCACTAGGGTATCCATCTATTATCTCCACATATACATACATTTGGTCACAGTTTAGGGACATGCATCATGTGGCAGGCTTTGAATTGGATAATAGGACCCTGTGGGTGAAGTGTTTGACCCTGTGCAGTTCCTGCTATAATGGGACATGGAGCTGTCAATAGCAACAGGAGGCTGGTGTATACTGAGGTGGAAGGTGGCCACAGAGTGTATCCATGGCCAGAGATGGTGTCCTAGTTTGCTTTCTATTGCTGTGATAAAGACCATAACCAAAAGCAATTTGGAGAGAATGGGTTTACTTGGCTTACTCTTCCCCACAGAGGCAAGCCATGGCAGGAACTTGAGCAGAATAGGAACCTGGGGCAGAGACCATGGAGGATGCTGCTCACTGGCTTGTTTCCCACGACTTCCTCAACCTGCTCCTTCTATGAACCAGGGCCACCTGCCCAGGGGAGACACTTGCCCACAGTGGGCCCTGCCCTCCCACATCAATCATTAATCAAGAAACTTCCCCACACACTTATCTACAGGCCAGTTTGATAGAGGCATTGCCCACTCTTCCCAGATGACTCTCGCTTGTGTCAAGTTAACAAAACACTCCCAATCACAGAAGGTGAAGCTTCTCTACAGTGGCCCTGCTTCCTCTGGTTGCCCTTCTGTTCTGACTATGGCCACACTAAATTTCTTCATTCCTGTCTACTCCTTGTCCATGCCTGAGCCCTTTCTGACCTTCACTTAAATCTAACCAGGAGCCCTGCAATCCTCCATGTCAGCCTAACTCGAGGCATGGCTCTCTCTCTCTCTCTCTCCTGTCTTCCTCTTCCACGCAGCCACTCCCAGTCTTCTTTTCAAACTCTAATAGTTCAGTCTTGTTTCTCCATGACAGGTTCTGGGGATCAAACTCAGGTTGTCAGGCTTACATGCAGCAAGTTCTTCTACTGCAAGCCACTTCTCCAGCCCAGGCTGACACAACTTGGAGCAATGCAAGAACTATCCGTGTTTTATGTCCCCTTTCTCCTCCCATCATTCTGTTTCTACCCACAGGACTGATCCCAGCCTCCTGTCTCTGTTCCTGTGTCTTGCTACACAGCCCTGGCCAGCCTGGGCCTTGCTATGTAGACCAGGGTGACCTCCAACTTGCAGCGATGCTCTTGCCTCTGAGTGTTGGGATGACAAAAGTGTGTCACCATATCTGGGTTTCCCTTGGCCTTGCAGTAAAATCTAAACGTTAAGGCCCACAAGGGCCCTTGTAATTAGTGCCCATTCTGCTTCAACCCTTTTCCTACCCCTTTTTATTCTATGGCAGTCATATAAAAAATCCCTTAAATGTTCAAACTTGTGCCTCTGCCCCCAGCACATCATGTGCCTGGGTTCCCTGAATTACCAAAGTCTCAGCTGAGATGACACCTCTAAGAGGCATCCCTTGGCCACCACATCTGAGTCAGAACCTCCAGCTCAGGCAATCTCAGTTTTTTTGAAGTGGTCCTGCTTGGCATCAGTTAGGTTCCTTATTCAGCTGGTCAGGGTCTCAGCAAGGTAGGGCAGTAAATGGTTGGGATCTGGAGTGTTGGAGGAATGCGACCTGCTGGCAGGAGACTCCCTATAGACCACTTGCTGAGATCCCCCTGCCCCTCCAGTCCTGAGTCTTTCATAGGCACATTCTAGAAAAGTTGCAAGGGAAGAAATAACAGCTTAGAAAAGTTTAAGGAATCTCATTGAGGTCCCTGCCAACACCCCACCCCATTTGTTTCTTTTTAAGATGGGATTGGCCTTGCTGGGATCCTCTAGCTTCAGGCTCCTGAGTCCTGGGATTACAGGCATGTGTCACTATATTTGGAGTGTAACCATCCTGGAAGGAGTGAAAGTACTCCATTACCTATACTGCTTGCCCTCTATTTCAACCTAAATCTCTTGTCAGTAGCTTAGTGACTTGAGAGGTCCCCAGTGTAACCACTCCTGTCTCATTTACTGGAGTATTGAGAATGGGCAGCCAAGCCTAGCCACTCAGGCTTTCACATTCTCTTCTGCAAATGCAAGGTTCACCCAAGCTATGTACTACAAACTGCCAATAGTATGTTGGTTAGATGAACTCAGTACTGTTGGCTCCAAAGCACATAGTCCTCAATATACAGAAAAACCCTGCTGTCATTTGTACATCCTAAACTCAATGTCACAAACTGAGCACCCATGCCAATGTACCAGCAGAGCCAGGATTCTTTGTTTTGGACACAGGGTTTCTCTGTGAAGGCCTGGCTGTCTTGGGACTGACTCTCTATGTAAATCAGGCTGGCCTGGAACTCAGAGATCTACTTGTCTCTGTCTTCTGAGTGCTAGGATTAAAGGTGTAGGTTACAACACTCAGCTCAGAGCCAGGATTCTAACTAGGGTTTGTCTCACACCAAATCTTGCACCCTGTCCTGGTACCATACTTTTTGCACCATCTGGAAAGTGAGAAAGGACACTTCCTGGGCTCCTAGCCTTTAGACTGTCCAGAGCTAAATGAAGCCAAGCCTGATAGCAAAGCTGACTGTTTCCTGATGGAGTGGTACAAGGTTATACACAATTGAAACTGAGGAGCCAGTTAGCCCTTCAGACATCCTTGACTGATTTGAGTCCATTAGGGCCTCAGGTAGCCACAGGCTCTTTCTTCCTTCATGGAGAAGGCCTGGGGGGGGGGAGGGCAATGGTTGAGAGCCAAAGAATTTAAACCCTCTAGGCCAAGTCTGTTGGAAGTACAAGCCTGTAATTCGAGGGCTTAATCAATAAAGGCAGGAAGATCATCTCTTGGCTAAAAACATGGAGATACTATGTCAAAAAAACTCCAAACAAATAACCAAAAAACCAAGACCAGAGCTGGTAAGAAGGCTCAGCCACCCGGCAGGTAAAGGTGCTTGCTGCCAAGTCTGATGATCTGCGTTCAATCTCTAAGACCCACATGGTGGAAAGAGAGAACATACATTGTGTTCTGACCTCCATAGACTCTGTGTCACATGTACACATTCACAGAAATAAATGTAACTTCATTTATTTCTTGGTTTTTCGAGACAGGTTTTCTCTGTGTGACAGTCCTGACTGTCCTGGAACTCACTTTGTAGACCAGGCTGACCTGTCTCTGCCTGCAAATGCTGCAACCCCACTCTAGTTCTCCACAGTGAGGTCGCAGATCTTATCTCCTTATCTCTGGTGGCTGTCACTATTTGTACCCTGATGCTGGAACTGCTTTGTGTCAGAACCCTTCTTTAAGTGTCCTTCCCAAACCAAAAGCCAGATGCCTCCTCTGACCTCCCCGATATGTCTACTTGAGCTCTTCAATTGACTGCAGCCCTCTGTGATCCAGTCTGCTTGGTGGGGTAGAAGAGAAGTCCACCAGATTTCCCACTGGGTGCCTGCCTGAATCTGGCAGCCCTACACATTGGCGGACCGAATGCAAAGAATTACAAAACGCCAATGCCTTGGAGAGTACGAGGGTCCTCAAAGTGTCCTCTGCCTCCAGAGCAGTTAATCTAGCCCTAACTATCCTAGAAACTGAAGAACAAAAGCCTTAGATAACAGCTTGGAACGAGGCAAGCTGGGTCACAAGGCTGCAGGGCTCCACGGGATCTTCATAAACGGCAACGCCAGGGCAGACGCTCGTCACATTCAGAGGAAAGAACGACCTGCTAGGGTCTTGGGCCACCTCTAAGAGGGTCGTTTTCCTGAGAAATGGGGGGCTCACTACCTTCCCAGCCTGCTTTATTGCTCAACGAGCTCAGGTCTTGGCGGGACCCGGGCAGGTCGTTCTAGCCTTGGTTTCCAGATGGTTTCTCCAAGTCATTGTTACTTCTTTTCTTGACTTCGCGCGCGCTCTCCTCCTGTTCCGGCCTGCGCCAGACCCCCACCCCGCGACCTCCCACCCTTCTCAGTTCCCCTTCACCCCCCACCCCAGCTCGTCTCAAGGAGGCGGGTTCAGCTTCGCGAGTACACCAATCCGAGCGCCCCAAACCGGCTCTGCCTCCGCGAGCCCGGCCCCACGCCACCGTTAGCCAATAGAAATTCGCGTTCGTAAAGTCGGTCCGTCCAATCACAGGCGGGCTGTGAGCCTCGAGCGTCCCGCCCCTGCCGAGCTTGGCCGCTTCCCTGCGGGCGGCCGCGCTGGGGCTTCGACTTTCTCCGAGCGGCGCCGAGCTGCGTCGGGCTCAGCCGGCTGCGTCCGGAGGTGCGGGCGACGGCGCCGCCGTGATCCTGGGGTGCTGGGCGAGGCAGAAGCCACCGGCTGGATCGGAAGGTGCCTCAGGCTCCGTCAGGGCAGGCGCGGCGTGTGGTCCCAGGACTGAGCCGGAGGCCGACCGGCCACGTTCCCCGACCGGCAGCGCCTCCCGGAGGGGTCTCTACGGAGCCCGGGCGGTCGCTGAGGTGGCTTCCGCTTCCCGGGGCCTCACCTGCGCAGGCCGCGGGGAGCCAGGTGCGGAGGCGTGTGTGCCGCTGGGCGCCTCCCCCGGCCGCCAGCGGGGCGGAGGCGGGGCCGCAGCCCGGGCCTCCTGGGGCTCGCCGGGCAGTCTCAGTCTCACCGGTCCGCCTGGCGCTGCGGTTCGGGATGCTGCTGCCTGCTCACGAACCGCCCTCCACCTTTGCCCCCGCCGCCGGGGCCGCGCCTCGCTGTTTACATGCCCGTGGAGCCCGGGCCCCCCGAAGGTGAAAGTAGCCGGCCCACAGGACTGGTCCCTCAGACCCCGGGCTCGGGACTTAGATTTTCTCCTGCCCCACAGCCTCCGCCACCATCTGGACTGGATCCGGCCCTGGTGTTTCTTGAGGAGGGGGTGTGGTGTTAGGAAAGAAATCCTGGGGATTTCTGGGATCCCCTCTTTTTCTTTTTCTTTTTTGCCCTGCGGGCTTAAGACTCAGGGAACTCACTCATGGCTTTCTTGATGAAGAAGAAGAAATTCAAATTCCAAACCACTTTCACCCTGGAGGAGCTGACTGCGGTCCCCTTCGTGAACGGGGTCCTCTTTTGCAAAGTCCGGCTGCTGGATGGCGGGGATTTTGTCAGTTTGTCGTCCAGGTAGGCATTGAGGCTTTCGTGTTTGTAGGGGAAGATGTGTGTGTGTGTGTTGGGGGGTGCTGGTGAGTGAGATCTTGGTAAATGTGGAAGCCTCAGGTCGGGACGGCAGGAGACTTCCGGGCGTTATACGTGTCTGGGGGAAGATTTGCTCTAGGCAGTACTTGGGGGCCAATGAGCTGGCACTGTGCCAGCTTATCTGCGCGTTACCAGCCAGAAACCTTTTAGGGACCTGCATGCATTCTCCAAATCATCCGTTTTGCAACCTTGCATGGAGAGAGCTGAATGAAATTTGCACCTTGAGGGAGTAAGTAGGGGTGCCCTAGGCCACCTTGCCACCAAGCTGGCCCCTGTGGCTGTCATATGATTGAGAGCTTAGATCAGCCACAGGTTTCCTGGCTTTTCTCCCCATGGCTGGGAAAACCCAGTCCCAGGCACTCCCTGGATCTGATTGAGGGTGGTGGCTGGATTTTGGGTTGCCCAGCCCCCTCTGAGTGACTGCCCCCCACTGGCTGAAGCTGGGCTGCTTTGCATTGCAAATGTCTTTGCCAGAATACTGCCTTCTGTGAAAGAAGACCTCCAATTTGGTTTTGTGTTGCTTGCCATCCTTCCCAGATTATTGGTGAATGAGATCTGAATTCTTAGTCTACCCTTTGCAGATTGATATCAGTGGGGTCACACAGTCCTAGCCAGCCTGCTAAGGTCCTTTGAAGTCCAACTGATGAGGAAAGGGAGTCAAGTTCTGGCTCCTTCTGGGGTCCTGTTCCCTCTTGTGCACAGTGGACTACACAGGTTTCTCTATCAGAGTTATGGGAAAAAGTTGCAGTAAATAGACCCACAATACAGCACCTGGCCCAGGGCCTGGGATGCTCTCCTCTTCTTACTTAGTCTGTCCTTTGTTCCTTAGGTTTTTGAGCTTAGTTAGCTGGAGATGTCTCACTATTCTGAGATCTCAGAGGTATGTTTTAGCGATTGGGATAATGGGCCCCAGGAAGAGAAAGTAAATGGTTGCCAGGCACCTTTCATGAGACAGTTGTCAACCCAACTGCCTGTTAGGAGACCTGTTGGGTGAATCTGCTGGGAGAAGAGAAGCTATTGACTCAGATTTTGGAATCTGTGGATAGAGTGAGGTGCCTGTTCTGTGCACTGGGCCTCCTGCTCTGCTTGATGCTGCTTATCTGAGGAATTTGGACAAGGGTGCCCTTTGTGGTGGGGTTAGTCTGCTGTCGATGAAGCCTGTAATCCTAACAGCACAGTGTCAGAGGGTTGTGCTCAGAGATGGGCCTGGAGTTTCAGGTTTTGGGTGAATTACCCATTCTCCCTGACTCCCTTATCTCAAGAGCCAACAGTTATGGTGCTCCGCTTGCTGTTTTACTAGCACCTCTTAACCTCTTGACTGTGCCATGGAGCAGTAGAGGTGGGAGCCCGGGGGAGCATTTTACAGAGGTGAAATGGAGGCTCAAAGACAGTGGCTTTAACTGCTACCTTGTGCCTCTGAGCCTGTTATCTCTTTTGTAAAATGGGGAAGTAATGCCTACCTTTCAGTGTGAGGGGGATGGAGAGTACACCATGTCTGACCAGGGAAGTTGCTACAGTAGTTACTATATTGTAAGGGGCCCAGGCTCCATTGGCAGGGATGGGGGAACACTGGACCACATCTCTTAAGTAACAGAGGTCCTCTTTGTGAACTGGGAGTGGGCACAGTACTAAGGAATTTGTACCAAGCGTATGCTGCAGTTTCACCTGTCTAGATCCTTAGCTAGCCACTATGACCCTACCTGTCAGCTTTTCCCTTGCCCCAACTTGTCCCCACATCCTGGAAAGTCTGGAAGGTTCCAGGACTTAGCATACATGACTCTGGATTTCACCTCTGTTTCCCCTTCATCCTCCTGGCAAAAGACCACAGATTCTCTGAGCCCAGCTGAACCTAGGCAGCCTTTCCAAGTTCCCATCCTGGGTATTGGAACCTGAGCCACTTTGAAGTGGCTTTTACCCAGGAGGTGGGGTTCCCTCTACCATACCCCTCCCACATTGATCCTGTAGCCCAGGAGCTTGGGCCACCCCTCCACTATTATGACCATATTGTTTATAAGTTAGAGTAGGGACTGAGGTAACTGGACCTGCTTAGATCCTGGACTTAGATGTGGCAGCACATCTTCCTCTGGATCTCTTGATGTGCTGTTGGCAGCATGGGTGGTGTCAGGCTGACAACAGCCCTAGACCCCACCCCTGCAACACCCACCTTCCTAGCTGCTGTTTTCCTGTGTGTTGAGTGCCATGGCAACAATTGGTACTCAGCTCCATCTGACCCAGTTGGAACAGGTGACTCCTGGGGTTGTTCCTTAGCCTATTCTTCTAGCACCGCCTTAGGAGCAGCAGTTCACAGAGCAACCAGGCTCTTCGTGCTCAGACTGTGCCAGGCATAGTGCTAAGTGTTTTGTGCAGGGTATCCCCACTAATCCTCTCAGGCATCTGCAGAGACACAGGCCAGAGAGGTAGAACTAAATGCTGGTTACCAGGTGGTAAGTGGCAGTGAGAAAACAGTTCTTTTCTATAGTGGCTTCTTTTGAGTGTTTACTTGCCAGTGCCAGGGACTTGCTGAGCCACTCAAATGCCTGACCATAAGTCCTACTTGTAGGTGAGGACGCTGAGGTCAGGTAAGATGAAATGACTGTGTCTATGTAACAGATAGAATTTGATTGCGGCAGTTCCCATTCAAAGCCCTGCCTTGCCTTGGTGGCATGAGTTGGAAGCAAGAACAGGTCCATGTGACATTTCCAGACTCCACAGAGGCTTCTTTCAGTGGGTTGGGTGGTATGGCAGGACAGTTTAGATGCACTGAACTGGGCTTTGTGAAGCTCAAGTAAATATAGAATCCCCAAGACTATAAGGTGTGTGTGTGGGGGGGGAGGTTAAAGTAATCACTATGTATTTGTGGTCAAGCTTAGGTAGTCACTAGGGCACAGTGGGCATTTGCCGTGTGTTCTTGCCTGGGGCCTCCCAGAAAGATAATCCAAGTGGTACCTGGGAGGGCTTTCTGGTTTGGAGGGTATCCAGGAGCATACACAAGTCCCATACAAGTGTATTGAATCTGGCAGACACTAATGTGCTCAAGTGGCCTTCAGGTCAGAAGGATTCCGGATCTCCCAGGGGCCCTGTTCTTTGATGGCACTGGTCCTTTGGCTTGCCACATTCATGTAGTGACTGTGTCGGGAAGAGGAATGCAAGGGAACATTGACTTATGTCATAGGATGGAGAAGATAGAAGGCAGAAAAGTGACTCGCCAGGGCTACTTCATAGGAGGAATAATTAACCCAGTTGGACAGACTATAGTCTAGCTCGTACCTCTGTCTTCTGTGCTTCATTCAGCTCCCTAAGAATGTGGGTTGGCCAGGAGGAGAAAAAAGATCCCTTGCAAGGCCACCTCCTACTCTATACTTGAGTGCCAGGCTGTCTGAGAAGCTGACTGTGACTTGAAGAGGCCCCCTACCCCTTTGTCCTTTCTTCTTGGCTAGCTTTGAGGCTTCAGTGGGGCTTCAGAGGGGTTTTATTTTTGTAAATAGAGCCTGGCTGCTTACCACATAGGCACTGCCTGCCTTATGTGGGCATGACCGTGTGCCTATCATGTAGGAGTACTCAAAGTGCCTTTGGGATTCTCTGAGCATGAAGAAGTCCTTGGAAGAGTTAGCTGTGCATCCAGAGGCCTTGTGCTGAGGTCCAGACCCTGGCTCTGGGGCAGGCAGACAGGCTTGATTATTCATCACTCAAGCCACACATTTGGCAGGGTTCCAGCCCTGTCTCTTACCCTACCTACCCTACCTTACTGAAAAAAGCTGTAGATGCCCCTGGGTTCACAGCCATGCAAGGCCTATTCTGGGATAGTTTGGTATGGAGCTCTGAGAAAGCATAGTGGAGATGGATACCCACACTGAGGATTGTCCAGCAGTGTGAAGTTACAGGAGAACCCCTAAAGTATTTATTGTCCTGCTCAGAATAGGGGCTGTGGGTTGAACAAATTGGAAAGGTAGGAGGAAGCTAGTAGACACTGGTCTTTTCTTCCTGTTGGCTGGCTTCCAGAGGTGAACAGGACTCTGCGTTCCTAGGTAGATGATGGCAGTATGCCTAGTAGGCCAGGCTAGTCCCAGTGGACCTCAGCAGACCAACTGAGGAGGTGTTTTTGTTCAGACTCTGTTCATCTTTGTTTTCTCTCAAGTCTTCTCACCTCTGCCCCTAGTTCACTGTCTCATGGTAAGCACACACACCATCATCACTGTAGAGAGGGCTTCCCTGAGGAAGCTACAACTTTTGGGCATCCCAGAAGCTGAGAGGGATCAAGCTGAAGATGAGGAAGAGCTGTGGAGAAGCCCCTGGTTTGAAAGCATGTTTTGGCAAGGTGGGATTGGGGTGTGGGAAGAGTTGAGGTGCTAGATTAATTAAAGATGGAAGGTGGCCTGACTGGAATTGTTTCTAGTCTTGGAAGTCATACAGGAGCCAGGGGAACAATGTGACACCATTTACCAATTAAGATGATGGCTTTTGGGTGCTTAGATAAAAGACTGTAGATAGTGTTGACGTAGCCTGGTACGTAGAGTGGTAGCAGACAGAGAGAAAAAAGGGAACAGACTGGAGAGGGTAACAGGCAAAATGGGCAGGAAGGTTCCCTATCCTAAAGGCATGGCACCATACTTTGAGGGTGCGAGGAGAGTGGTCATCCAAAAGTGCCCTGGAAACTAATACCTATGTAAAGGTCCAAATTTTCAGTTTACTTTAAATGGAAAATCAGATAACAGTGCTTCGAAGTAGCATTCAACACAAGGGGCTTTGTAACTGCCTCCTTACCTGCATTTTGAGGGCTCTTCCTCCCACCACAGCATACTCTTAGATGCTTGGCATGTTCTCAGTGACTCTTATTGTCAGTTGGGTTCCTGAGGCCCTGTGGATGGTCTTTCCTGTATAAGAAACCCCTCTGTCAGAGGAAAGGGGAGGAGTGGCTGGGCAGAAGG